CGCCACGGACGCGACGACGCATCTTGCCCGACAACGGGAGGTTCAACCACAGGAAACAGTGACAGCTTCCGTCGCGACAGGCCAGGTACATGCGTTGTGGGTTTTTCTCCGACCCGCTCTTGCGCAGCGACAACCGTCGATCGCAAAAACACTTCAGCTCATCCCATCTTTGACGCAGCTCGTCGTGCAACTGTTGGGCCACCAGGGTCATCCATTCGTCCACGTGGTCTTGGGGACTGAACACGGGACACGTGTCGCGCGGGCAGTAGACATAGACAAACTCGTCCTTGCGGCCCTCGGACAAGACCTCGTCAGCATGCAACGGATACATCCACACCCCGGGTCGGTCCACCGGCGCGTACGGGACGGGATCCGTCTGCGTGGCCTGATCCATCTCGTTCAAGAACCAGGCGGCCAACTCGCCTTCCTCCAAGACCTCCGTCTTGTCTTCCAAAGCATCCTCTGCTCGACGTTTCTTCCTTTTGGCACGACCGGCCGGCACGGGCGCCGGACGTGTGGGGTGTCTCGTACAAGCGGCCATGATGAAAGTAGGCCGCACGAGACGCCCCGCGCCGTTTTATACTCCGTTCCCATCACGTGTCACGATCACGTCACCCACGCCTTATAAGGACCCAAGTCACCGCGATAGGTTAGGTCGGGCTCCGCCCCCGCGTGCTCACACCGTGCTCTATAAATACTTTCTCTTCCCCGAGTCCCCGACCAGTCATGCAAAAAGGTCCCGTGTCACGACCGTCCAGGCGACGGAGGAGAAAACGTCGTTCGCTCGGCACCATGCCCACCCTTCAGGACTACACGGTCTACACCCCCGACAACCAAATCGCCGACCTGGCCGAACGCCAGGGGATGACCGTTCACCTCATCGACGGTCCGACCCAACACGTGCTCCGCGACGCGCACACCGTCTACCTCTTTGGGTCGTACACACCCCTACGCGACATGGACGACACCGGCCGCGTGACCGAGCTAGCCTCGACCTTGGGCAAAGCGTTGTTGCTGTGTGACGTCACGACAGGGCAATGGTATAAACGTGCCCCCAGCGACCAAACCTTCCCTCCGCTCTCGACCTCGACCTTTCCGGTGCTTCATCCACGCAGTGCCGTCTTGGGCATCCGTTCCCTGCTGCTGCACCACCTGCAACTCACCTCGCTCTTCCAACGCACCCGAGACACGCTGTCCCCATGAATGCCGAGTATCATCGAAGTCTACGCCTCGACGACTATCGCACCTTCGACGAGTATCTCCGCGAACGCATCCGACGAGGATTGCAAGCTCATCACGATCACACCGAGATGCTCCTTCACCTGCAAGATCAATACCGAGCGGTCTACAAGCGCTACGTGCAAGACTTGGCGCAACGCGATCGACCCGAGCGATAAATCAATAAAAGGTTTTTTTTAATCTGAGGGTTGATCATTGACTTTTGCAAATGTGGGCGGGACCCCAAAGGGGGTCCCTGTGAAACATTAAAATGGGGAGTGGGTTTAGGTGTGAATAAAGGGCCAGTCGTCCGCCTGGTTGGGACGCAGGTAGTCGTCGGGACCAAAGGTAGCCCTGACCCACCGGTACAACCGCGCGCGGATCCCTGTCCTTGGTGGCGAACATCTTCCGGATCAGTCTTCGGTAAAAATACCCCGTCACGGGCTCCAACTGGTTCCCATGGCGAGGAACGTAAAACCCCTTGAGGTTGATGATCCGCTTCCGTTTGGGGCACCGGGGTAAATAATTCATCTTCATCCGAACTTGCCACCACCCGTTCGCATCGCGATCCTCCACCGTGGCCAATCGATACAGTCTCGCAATCATCAACAAAACATCGTCGGGTAACACCGGCAAATCGTCGGGTACACCATCGTCATCATCGTCGGGTACATGAATGTCGGGAAACACAGGAATGCCAAAAGGTACCACCGGCAAAGAGTCCGCCATCTTTGTTCAAAGACCAACTGCAGACAACCCGAGTCGCGACCGGTCCCACGTCTTATACTCTGGGTCACGTGCCTTCCCATCACCCCCGTTCGACCCCTCGAAAAGAGGGGGGATGGGGGGGTATCCCCCCTTCTTTGAGACCCTTCCCAGAGGGGCCTTGCGCCCCCTCCTATAGGTCCATATAAGTCCCCCTCCCATCGACCCTGCACCTCGACACAGATCATGCTGTTCATCGCCCCAATCACTGTGTTCTCGTTGACCTTCTCCTGGGTCGCTATCCTGCTCCACACCCAAGTCCCCGATCATGGCACCCAGGGTCTTCAACCGAGACTACCTCGAAGAATACTTGGACCTGTTGTGGGAGCTGCGAGAAAACATCTCCATGGACCTGGACTGGGGCTACGAATGCCGCCTGAACCGCATGTGCGAACAAGTGAGGCGTCAGTTGATCGACCCCCACGTGGCGGACAAGAAGCGACAATCGTGCGAATTCGCCTACACCACCTGTGTCCAAAATCTAGAGACGTGCCGGCAAAACCTGGAAGGCCTCAGAGATACTGTACGGTACTTGTTCGAACAGTCACCCGAAGAACATCCCAGTACCCACGCCCACTACCAAGACATACTCTACAGCATCGAGCAACAAGAAAAGGGACTCCTCCACATCCAGGCCGTGTTCCGCAGCCACCTGTGAACGCTCTGACCCCAGCACCCAGCACCACTACCGCGAGTTCGGATCACCTGTTCAAACCATGTAGGGACGCCCCACACCCGTAGGGTCGGGCACACGTTCCCGCTTGTAAAACGTTAGGGTTATCCAGGAACAGAATAAACCTCAGTTTGAAATCTGTGCCAAAAAACATGGGTTTATTTATTTTTTATTTTTTTTGAATTCCCTAGGGAATACCCACGTGACCACCGGGGAAAGACTGTCCGGGGGGACCTCGACCCCGCCCCAACTTAGGGTTAGGGTCAGGGCCCAGGGGAATGCCGTTGATCCCCCAAAAACACAAGTGGACGTAGTGCGCATGCGCCCTCACGAATTCTCTCTTAGGGTTCCCACATGGACGAGACTTCCGGTTCGTCTACAAATATAAGAGCCCTTAGGGTTAGAGAAAGGGGAACAGAGCTCTAGGGTTAGGGCTACGGGGCCACACCCCAAGGTGACAGGAGGTCACTTTTACAACATGTCATCACCCCTATGACGTCATCCCCTCTTTGAAATTAGTTGACAGCTGAAATTTGATTGACAGGTCAGGTTACCTCTTGCTGCACGCTGATTGGTCTATTTGTACCACGTGACCTATATCCGGCTTTCTGATTGGTCTGTACCAGAGTGGCCCCCCTTACTACTGCAACGTAGAATGTTAAGTTTTTTCCGCAATTTCAGAGTGAATTTCACCGCGGTACATAAATTATTGTAATAACCAGGCTGTTTAAAAACGTTTGACGCAGAACAAAAACAATTAGTCATTTACCGTTTTATCTGTTCTCGGTAAATAAGACGCTTACCTTTACTTCAGATTCTTGATGGAAGAAGTCTCTATAGCCAGCTGAAGTCATGCAGTTTCATAATTTTGGTAATTGTTTCATTGTACGTTCGCATGAACATGTGTTGAATTTTCCTGTAAAACAGCTTGCATAAGTTATCATGTAACGAGTGCAAAAACTCGTGTTTTGAAGTGCTGCTGTTTGTTGTTTGACTAAACTGAGTTTTGAGAAAGTTCTGCGCTATTAAATCGTGAATCATGATTAGCTTATGATGACTTTAGAGAGAAGACATAAATCGATCTCGGTACTAAAACCATCTTTTTTACCTAAAAGACTCCACTCTACTAAAGGTTATTTTATAAAAGCAATAGACCACACTTTCTATGGGTTTACCGGCGTGATAACCCTCTTGGGATGTTGGGAGAACACTCAAGAAGCTTGTAAATAACTCGCTTTCGGCTCGTGATTTACAAGCTTTTCTCGTGTTCTCCCAACATCCCGAGTGGGTTATCACGCCGGTAAAACCATAGAAAGTGTGGTCTATTGCTTAAGTAACCCCTTATACATCTTGCATCTTGCAACCCCTTGTAACCCCCTGTTGCAACCTGTAACCCCCTGTAATCCCTGTAACCCATTGTAACCCCCTTGTAACCCCCTGTAACCCTTGTAACCTCTTGTAACCCCTTGTAACCCCTTGTAACCCCCTGTTGCCCCCTGTAACACCCTGTAATCTCTTGTAACCTCTTGTAACCCCCTGTAACCCCTTGTAACCTCCTGTAACCCCTTATAACCCATTGTAACCCCATGTAACCACTAGTAACCACATGTAACCCCCCTCTAACGCCTTGTAACCCCTTGCAACCCCTTGTAACCCCCTGTAACTCCTTGTAACCCCCTGTAACCCCTTCTAACCCCTTCTAACCCACTGTAACCGTCTGTAACCCTCTATAACCCCTTCTAACCCCTCGTAAACCCCTGTAACCCCTTGTAATCCCTTGTAACCTCCTTTAACCTCTTGTAACCCCTTGTAACCCCTTGTAACCCCTTGTAGCCCCTTGTAACTCCCTCTAACCCCTTTTAGTCCAGTCATTTTGTGGC